CCCCCCACATCCACAGGTGCACGGGGATGACTCGGGGAGCACCTGGGCACCCCGTGGCTTCGTCCATACCATTGTTACTTTCTGAAAACTCTCGGTGGGGTCTCACTGGGCCCTGGGCTGGGTGGGCGGCCTTTAGGAAGCAGGCGTCCTCAGCATCTCCCAGCCCAGCCCCAGGAGGCTGTGTGAACACAGGAACTCTTGGCCTCTCTGTGCCCACCTGCCGGAGGCAGCTTTGTGGGGCCCTGGCCCCAGTACCTGCCCCGAACAGCCAGCAGCATCGGGCTGAGGCCATCCGTGTCCCGGGCGTTCACATCCACACCTCCCTGCAGCAGTACAGCGACGGCCTCTGTGTGCCCTCCCCGGGCAGCCTCATGCAGTGGGGTTTGGCCATTAAAGTCCACCAGGCTCAGGTCACTGCCCTGGGATGACACGAGGACATGCAACCCCTGAGCGAGGGCCGGGCAGGGCCAGGTAGGCCATGGGGAGGGTGGGGTCCCTCTGAGGATGGGGCCCAGCACAGCCCCCATGCCCACCCTCAAAGCCGCAGTGAGACCCCACCAGCTGGCAGGACGGCCCCACTGCCCAGTCTGGCAGACGAGGGCTTAGTGTGGTCAGCGGGTGGATGAGAGGCCTTCCTGCCTGCAGGGGTCCAGAGCTCCCGGGCCAGGCATGGCTGGGGCTGGGCCCCGGGTTGGGGAGGGTCACCAGCTCCACCAGTGCCTGCAGCACCTCCAGGTCACCGGCTCGGGCGGCAGCACAGGCCAGGCTGGGTATCAGGGCGCTCCGCAGGGCATCCGCCTCCTGGGTGGGGAAAGCAGCACCCTGGAACACACACCTCCCTCTGGCGTCCAGCGGAACCGGCAGTCCCTGGTGCTGTGTGACCCCTGCCAGCCAGCACACAGGGGGCCGAGGAGCCCAGGGTGTGGGTGAGAAGGAACCTGAGCTGCCACGTCGGAAGGCCTGGGCTTGAGCCTCACTACCCTGCCCCACCCAGGCCCACCTAGGACCCCTGCCTCGGGAGCCAAGGCCAGGCCATGAGGCCACCATCCAGCCCTGTCCTCACCAGGTATGTGGCCAGGGCCTGCCACTCACCCTCCAAGACTCACCCACCTGTCCCCACCACTGTTGGAACAGAATCGTAAGTTACCTGCGTGAGGGGAGCGTAAGAAGGAGAGCCAGGCCCCTCCCCTGGAAGAAAGGCCCTGCTCCGACAGCTGCACCTTCCCAGAAGAGCCACCTGCCCCCAGCACCTGGCATCCAGGAGCTCCCCAAGATGCCAGAAGGCTGGGGTCCTGGCAGAGGCCCCACAGGTGCCACCATGCCCAGCGGGCATGGCATGGCCTGGTGACCGGGCTGCCGCCTCTGGCCTGCCTCCACTGAGCATTCAGGCCTCATGCAGCCACCCTAACCACCCCACACACACCAGCCCCTTCCATCTGCCCATCACCCACCCCAGCAGTGGCAGCAAATGGCTCACAAGACAGGACGATCCCTGCATGGGGGAAATTGAGGCACTGAGGTGGGGAGCAAGGCTGTCTGGCCCGCTGGGCCCCATGTCAGGCCTGGATGCTTCACCCAGTAGCCAAGGGGGCATTTGTAGGGTGCATGGAGGCCCCATTCCCTTCAGACCCCAGGCCTTGAAAACACCCCTTCCTAGGACTAGGTACCCCAGTTGTGCAGAGGACATGCTCAAATGCTGGCCCTCATCTCTGGGTTCAGGTGGGGACCTGGAACCCCTGAAGCTCAGAGCCTGAAAGAGCCCAGAGGAAGCACCCGCCATCCCCGACACCCACCCGTCTCCCGGACAGGCAGCTCCCTAGGCAGCCCCACACTAAGGCAGTGCTGCCAGTCAGAAGGCAGCAGCCTGCCAAGCCCTGGCCCCCGGGTCCCTGCTGCCTGCCCACTGCCTGGTCCTTCCTGCATGCTACCCCATGGACCCTGAAACGCCTCCTCCTGGGCCCCAGAACCCGGGTGTGCCTGGCTGTTTGGGCTATAGGGGTTCATGGCTGCCTGGTGCGTCCCACGGGGACCAAGAGGGTGTACAGCCCCCAGCTGCCACTCAGGCCCACATGCCACACCATTACCTGGCCACCACTCAGACTGAGGAGCCAGGAGACCCCACAGCCCAGCGTGGTGCCCTGCAGTGAGGGCCAGCGCTCCTCTGCCGAGGGTGGTGTCATCTCCCCACGAAGGTCTTTGGCCAGCAGCTGGGGAAGAGAACAGAGGCGAAGTGGCTCCGTGAGGGCCGGATGAGCAGCCCAGAATATCCTGGAGGGCCAGGCTCCCGGGGTACAGGTGGGGATGCCCTCGGCCTGAGCCTCGGCCATGTGTGCTCCATCCCTCGGGTCCCCTCGCAGGGCCAGACCCACTCCCCAGCCCTACCAGTTCAGGGGCTCCAGGGGCCCCAAAGGCCTCTGCCCAGCCCCAGGGGCTGGCAGCCCAAGGGTCTGGGGCCAGCTGGGTCTGAGCCCTACCCTCCAGGAAGAGTGGAGGCAGGGGGGCTTTCCTGGTGACAGTTTGGGGAGCCTCAGGTCTCGGCGCAGGCTGAGAAGGCACCAGGACAGATGGAGCCTGGGCTGGGGGTCGAGTGAGGGCTGGGGGGTGCCTGGGCCCGGATGGGGCCACATCCCTCCCTTCCCAAACAGGGCACACCGTGGGCCGGCCCGTCTCTTCCTGTGTCACCCCAGGCATGCCCCTGGGAGCCAGCTGACACACGTGTGCACACCGAGAGGACCCCACAGCTCGAGGACGCCCGCACCTCCTTCCTGTCATCCAGGCTCGGCCCCGGCTGGCCCAGCACATACGACAGCTTGGCCAGGGCAGCCTCTGACGTCATGTCGAAGCCTGAGATGACGCCAGCCCCCACCATGGCCTGCAAGGAGGGGGCGTGTGGGCAGGAAGGGCACTCACCCCGGCCCGCAGCCTGTGGCGGGTGGGTCAGAGCCCGCCCTGCCATCCCCTTCCCCACTAGGCCCTGCTCTCCCGGTCCTACCATGCCCGCGGCATAGTCCATGGTCACAGTCCCTTGGAGGCAGTGGGTACAATTGACAATGACCAGGCCGCGCCCGGTCGCCACCCTCAGCTCCTGAAGCAGGTCGGGCTTGCTGGGTCCGTTCCCTGAGCCGAAAGTCTCCATGACGACGCCCTTCATGGGAGGCTGCAGGAACGCCCGAACCTGTGGGGTGGTGGGGGCTGGATGGTGAGGGACTCTGCCCTGGGCACCACCGGTGCCTGCCGTGTGCCCTCCCAAGGAGAGGGACCCCAAGCCAGAAGCAGCCAATGCCCACTCTGCTCCCAGGAAAATGGGGCTCCCAGCAGGCAGGCATGGCTGCTGCCATCTAGAGGGGCTGCTCCCCCCACATTCTCCCAAAGGGCTGCCCTATCTGTGGGGACGAAGGCCTTCTGTGGCAGAACACCACGGAAACATTTGAGAGGTGGGAGAGGAGCTGAGAAGGCCACCAGAGGCTCCAGCGCTAACACCCCCTGCCCAGCACAGCAGCGGGGCTGAGCCAGCTGGAATCTGGGGGAGGAGCTGCCACCAGGCCTGCATGGAGGACCCGTTGGTCCGGCTATGAGCCGCACACCAGCCCTGCCCGCTCCCTGAAGGCTGGAAAGCACCGAGCACAGGAGACAAGGGACAAGGGACAGGGGATGGGGAACAGAGGACAAGGGATGGGGACAAGGGACAGGGGACAGGGCCTTGGGCCAGTGGGCCACACTGTGGACATCTCAGGTCCATGTGGGGTCTGCCCTGGCTGGTGAGGGCCCCAGGGAGCCTGGGAGCCACAGAGGGCTGGGGCTCAGGGCCACAGGGCAGGAGGGCCAGGGCGGTCCCTACCAGAGCAGTGGGGATCCCGGGGTAGAGGCGCAGCAGCCCCATGTCCTGCTCCATGCTGTCATGCACCACCAGCTCAGCCTTCCTGCCAACCCTCCGCACCAGCTCCCTATTGACTGCGGGGACAAGGGAGAGCCTGTGTGGCACCTACAGGTCTCCCGCCAGCCGAGCAGGAGACCCTCTGCAGAGCTGCCTCCTCCCTTGCTTTCAGAGCCCTGAGAGCCTTGGAACCTCAGCACCACCCCCACCCTGCCTCCTCTCCCACAAGCAAATCCCCCTATGCCTCTGCGCACTCCACACTGTGCCCGGCTCCACAGCGTGCACGGGACTGAAGAGGAGGCACTTGCTGGCCAGCAAGAGACCCATAGCTGAGCAACAGGTGAGGCAGCCTCAAGAGTGATGGCCCAGGGAACCTCTGCTGACCAGGCAAGGGGGCAGGAGGATCCCGCAGAGCTGGAGGTCTAGCTGCATCTTGCAGGCTGCATGGGGCTTCAGGTGGGTGTTGCAGAGGCAGGTGGGCAGGCAGGCCCCACTGGGGAGCCACCGGCACTCACTGCAGTGGGTCACACGCATGGGGCAGCATCATCGGGCCAGCCAGCCTCCTCCAGCCCT